ATCGCGCAATTGAGCTAATGGTTTTCACATAACATTGTGATGAAAAGCGATTAAAGAGCCATTATCCCATGAACAACCAGGCAATAAATAGCAACAAATCATTCACAGAATTTTCCCGTGAATATTTTTTTGCTGTTTATTGCCTGGTTACTCCCTGGTTATTCCCAGGATAATGGCTCTTGTGTATGAAAATGTTCATTGCATTTTAATCACATTTTAATCTCAATTGCACTATTTTGATCACCGTTTATTCTTCACCGTTTATACTTCCAATTGTCCCTCGTGTGATAAATTCTCTAGAAATCTAATGCATCACTGGTTCTCTAAAGGATAGTCCTCTTGCAAGCCTTCCAAAGGCCCTGTTTCTATATCTTTAATGGCAGATTGACATGTAAATCTCAAACAGGTAAGCTTTCCCCACCTTTATCTGCATAGGTGCTAAAATTGTCATTAAAGGCATCTGAGCAGGGCCAGTTTTTTAAATAAAATAAACAATGTTGACAACTTTAGCTTTTGGTAGTTCCTTAACTATGTTGGACTTTCCCAACATTTTGAATTCATTTTATTGGTGTGGTATACATTAATTCTCCAAAAATAACTTATTATTTGCAGTGGTGTCCATAGGGTTGGTGTCACCCAGTGTGGAAACTCATGATGTCACCCCCCCCCACACACACTGATCTCCTCCCATACCACTTCATACAGAATCCTTAGTAATGTTTTTTGTATTAATGTTATTCATAAATTGTAATTCCCATATATCACTGAATGTAATGTCAATAGTTGTGACATAAACAGCTAGCAAAATTCAAATTATACCGTTAAACTACAATATCATATGCACAGCCTAAATGTACTTACATGTACATAGTTTCATGTGGTTAAAATGAATGTTTGGTAAGATGTGACATGAAAAAAAAATTAAAATAATTTTAAAATATATTTTTTAAATTTATTTTTTTTTTAAAAAAAAAATGAAGTCCCTCCTTTTTCCTCCCTCTGAGCCTCACCCCACTCACCTCATCTCTTCAGTGTTCCAAAAAGATGCAAGTGAACACCACAGCCTGTTTCTGCCAAAAGGCAGATGTTTTGAGAATAGAGGATTCTTAAGGTGTCACCTGGTGTGGCTTGCAGCCCCTGCAGTCCTTAGTGATGCACCTGATTATTTGTGTGGTTAAAAGGAGCGAATGTATTCTTAACCCTTTAAATTGATTCAATTTTATTTATTTAGTTTACATAAAATCAAATAGACTATGTAATTGGAAGCAGAAGATAGAGAAGTGTCATTGTTTCTGTAAAAACAAGACCAGGAGCAGATTGTGGCACAGATCATGAGCTACTAACAGCAAAAGGTAGAGTAAAGCTAAAGAAGAATGTAAAACCAACCATCATCCCAGAATATAACCTGAGGAGCATCCCCAAAGAATTTAAAGACAGGGTGAAAAACTATTTCACTATTAAGCTGAATTGATCAGGAATGAGAGGAGGTCTGGACTGAAGCCAAGGACATTGTTAGGGAGGAAAGCAAGAAGACATTATCAGTAGACAAAAAGAAAAAGAAGCCTCAGTGAACTACAGATAAAACATTACAAGCAGTTAAGGAAAGAACAGAAGCAAATGTGGCAGAAATAAAACCAGAACCTGAATGCAACTATAGACTACAGTCAGCCCTCCATAATCACAGATTTGTTTATCCACGGATTCAAGGATTCAAAGTTTGAAAATATTCCAGAAAGATATAAATTTTACAAAGCAAACCTTGATTTTGTCTTTTTATATAAGGGACACCATTTTACAGTAGTTAATGAGACTTGAGCATCCATGCATTTTGTTATGTACAGGGAGTTCTGGAACTCAAAGCCCAGTAGATACTAAGGGGCCACTATGTAGCAAAGCAACTATTGACTATACCAAAGCATTTGACTCTATAGATCACAAAAGACTATACATCACTTTTAAAGAAATGGGCGTGCCTCAGCATTTGATTTTTCTGATGTGTGATCTGTACTCAGAACAATAACTACTGTTAGTATTGTTGAAATTGATGTTGATGGATATGTTGTTAACAGTCCTTAAAAC